CTCTCTCTCTCTCTCCTCTCTGTCTCTCGTCTTTCCGTCTCTCTTCTCTCTCTTCTCTCGCAGGAGGATCCGGGCAAAGAGCCACATATAAAGGACTCTTCACCCCTGCCTCCAAAAAGAGCGCCGTGTTTTTTCCTACCTCGCTGCCCTCCACTTTCCCATTCTGGAGCGCTAGCTTTCGCCCCCCCCTTGGCCTCAAGTATTTTATATCTTGGGTCTATCCATGTCTAAGTCAGTAAACAATTATCACTACTTTTGAACAAGGCCTCTACCAACGATCATCATCCACGGTTACTGGCAATAGGATGGACCCAATTTATATCTATTATGCATCAAATGATGGGAGCTTATCATAGAATTTCTATTACAAAAATGATCTATTAATATCATGATAAATTCATATTGGATCCCCAAGTCAACTTTGGAACTTGGAACATGTGTTGAGCATCCAGCCAACTCTTATTTCAGAATTCACACATTCATTGATTCAACTTCGCAACCGGCGCTCCGAACGGCGCAGGATTTGTTTACCTTTTCGGAGAAGACCGCCTGTGCCACACACGAGATGTTGGGCTGCCAGCGGTGTGGCGCAGGCCTCCCCGTGCCACAGGCGCCTCTTCTTACGTGACCGCGGCACGAGTGGACCAGAGTGGACCGGAGGGAAGCGGTGTCCCGGTGGATGAGCCGATGCGCTTGCGGGGCAAAGGAGGACGGTTTTGGTGTGGAAAAGAAAAGCGGGTCATGTGGAGAAGTATTGGGGCTGTGTGACTGTCATGGTGAGCCAGTGTTGGGGATGTGCTGGAGTGCATAGATAGCATAGCAGCTTGGGTGCAAAGGACCAAAACATCCAAAAAACCATTTGCCAGCACTTCCCACCCCTGTTTAACATCAATTTTCTGCGGTTGCCTCCGCCACTAATGACGAGCCCCAGAAAAAGACGCCATGCTACTGTACTTCTTTGGCTCAGAAGACCTTTGACGCAGGAGGAGGAAGTGCTGGAGGATGACCTCAGCACTTGGTCCCATCATCCAGGCGGCGTCCCGACTCTTCCGTGGGAAAGCCTGACACATCCGGGTCTTCGGAAGGATGTTTTGAAGCCTTTTTCTCTCGACATGTCGTGTCAGTGATGGGCAATTCGAACTGCTGCGCTTGTTCTTGTTTTTGGATACAAATGCTGCGGTGCGTTTTTTTCAGAGTCATGTGGGTCCATGTGGGAAGATCTCTCCCAGGGCCGTGATTGTGATTGGGCCATGCTGTTTCGGGGATGACACATGTTCTGTGGACCCAGCGATTTGGTTCGAATGACGGCGGATTTGGGATTTGAACCAGGCTCCAAGCAAAAACCAGTACCACAAGCAAAGGAAGAAGAACAAACACCGGATTCAATGTAGTTCATCCCCAAAATGAATTAGTGCAAAACCATTCCAGTGTTCTACCTTATAGTATACAATTAGTGCCAAACGCATTTCACGTCTTCATTGTTCATATTGTTCAATGACATGAGTTTCGACCATGGGGGGGCGGAGGCCGGCGGAGGCCCATGGCCGAACCCGGTTGGTTGCATCAAAGAACCTCTCCAGGTGACTGTCCTGTACATGTTCAAGTGCAAACATGCTACTACAATACAAATCAAGAACTACTATACAAATTATATAGGATAATATACAAGGCTTCGAGTGTAGTGTATCAATGCCTGAAATATTCTAGAATCTGTCCTCCCGAGGTGGCAGAAGGGACCTGGAGTGAGTGGACCATTCCCCAGATCCGAAGGATTCCCACCATCCTAGTAGCGCTGTGGGCGAGCTCTTTTTCGCCAGGAACTGAAGGTGTGAAAGACGAGATCCTTCAAGCTGCAGCCAAGGAGCTTTCGACGCTTCGTACCTGGACACGAGGCCGAGAAGACAGACGGTTCAGACGTTCGTTCGAGCTCAACTCGGAGTGTTTTTCAGGGGCCTCCAGACTTGGATGGGGTGGCCCACCAATCCGGATCAGGCCGGGGTATGTATGGGGAAGGTGGTTCGGTGGGGTGACTGGGGATGACTGGGGATGTATGGTACCAGTATGTGACAATCCTGATGAGGTTCTTACCTTTGGAGGTCCTTGGAAGTTCAGGGGTTGGTCAGGCGGGTCGTGTTCTGACTTGTCCTGACCCGGATGACTTCGCTCGTTTGGACGGCGAGCTGTTGGTGATGGCTACGTTGGGTTTACAGAGTCTTTTCAGTTGCAGGGAGGAAGGCCCACAAGGTATCAGTACATGATAGATCATGATAGTATCTAAATTAAATGTATCTATAGTCCTGAATGGACTCAGGAGTGTACTATACACAGCCTGCCATTTGTGGCTGATGGTGGACAGATCATCAAAAGTCTCTGCCAACATTCCTTGGCTTTTGGTCGGTTCGATTAATCATTAATCTAGGATGTGTTCATTCCTGTTGCATCGGATGTCGCGGTGTTTTATTGTACCTATTATACCAACCCTATGGATCTGATCCACATACCTTCTCAGAAGGCATGACTGTGCCCTGGCACCTACACTCCTTCCTCACCTTCTCAGAAGCAGCTATGTGGATCCAGGCGCCCCACATCCGTGTCGGGGGTCGTCGGGTGCCCGCGGGCACCGCGCCAGGCTGGGCCTCTCCGAAGGTGCCACTGGGCGGCGTGTCCTTCACGATGGGATGCCACATCGAATACACGACGCTTGGAGCGTCGATGGATTTGATGGAGCCTGGAAGATCACATCGTTTTCCTTTCACCAAGCTGGCGTCGTGGTTTACTTTTTTTAACGGTCCGTCTTTATTTTCACATTTTTTTCACGATGGATGAAGATCACACCGTTATATACTTTTTCAACGTTTGCTGCTTGCAAGGTCAGCATGTTGGTTGGAGAAAGCGTGCAAGTCAGCATGTTCTCGGAGCCGTTTAGTCATGTTTAGTCCCTAGACTGAAGATCTCTTTAGTCGGGAGTTCCCTGATGCTACCAGAGTCAGAGGGATATTTTTGCGCGTCCGTTATTAAAAGCAAAAATATGCAACTATATTGTCAACAAAACTCTTTTTGAACAATCATGGAGGTCAGGGAGCTTTGGCAGTTTCCATCATATAACAAAACGGGTGTCCCAGGCGCTACCTATAACTCCGACTCTAACCTGGAACCTTGCAACATCTTGCAACCCTGATCGCCAATGGCCGCCACGCTTGTGTTTCGGGCCAAAACACAGGAAGGAGCAAATCGCCAAGCTTGAAGCGGAAGAGCGTGCCGAACAGGAGCGACGCAAGGCGCCAGACACCGCTTTTGCGGAGGGCTGGGCCGGGGAAGGAGCTGCGAGGGGCGTCTTGCGGACGCCCCTAAAAGGGCGTAAGACAGTGCGAGGGACTCGGAATCATCAATGCTGGTCATTGACGCTGTTTTATGCAGGTGTTCATAGTGTTTTGGGCCTACAAGAGGCCAAATCCGCAATGCCTTTCCTGCAAGGCCTTAATTTGTCCCTGTATATATAAATATAGTGTTTCTTTTGTGAAGTCCGGTGCAAAGATGCTGATTTCATAATATTTTCCTGTGCTAGGCACAGCCTTGAGACAATGTCCTACAGCCATTTTTGCACTGTCCAGCACAAAGTGAGTGCTCTGGCCCCAACCAGAAACCAAAAGGGACGCTCCAACGGTGGACTCCCAACGGCGAACGCTCGACGCTGCCGGCAGGGTGTGCGTGCTTGTTTGGTCAAAGGTCGCGGGTCCACGGCAGTGCCACCAAGCTCAGCTCACTGAGACTTGCCATTTTGGGCCGGCAAAACCATAGAAGAACGGTAACAAACATTGCATGAACACACAAAAGTCTCGTAGCACCCAAAAGTCTTTGCGGCCTGCGGATCTAAGTGGTAGAGTGGCTTGAAGTCTGCATCCACCGACTGGAGACCTGCACTCCAGGAAACCTGCATTGCTACCCTTTAAGAACTCCGAACATGTCAAGCCTCGCAAAAACCGAAAACTGTTGGGCGCTTGGAAAAGCATTTTGATACGTGGATTTGTTCCACCATGAGTTTTTGGACATGTAAAGTAGAACCACTCCCCCTTCCCCACTATTCTGTACACCAAGCCCTGGGCACCGAAGCCCTGGGCACCGGGCCTGCGCACCACTGACAAGACCACACCTGCCACTGCACAAGGCCAAGTCTGATGAGGCGCTGCAGGCGAAGGCGAAGGCGAAAGCTGAGACCAAGGAGACCGAGGCGAAGGCGAAGGCGGCTGTGCAGGCCGGGTGGTTCCAGGGAGAGCCATGCCAGTGTCGACTGGGGTGCTAAGAACTGTTTAAACGGTGGGGAGTGGGGCGAACGTCGTGTGGGTTTTGGATTGGATGAAAAAAGTAAAACGAACCATACTGCTTTTCCGAAGGTTGGCCTTTGGTTTTCTTTTTTCCTTCATTTCTGCGTTTGGATTGGATGAATTGAAGGAGGTGGACACGAAAATCAACTGTGGGGGATTCAGGGTGACACATGCGTGGCCTCAAGAAGGGGGGGGCATGGCCTCAGGTCCCAGGGTCACGCTGTGTTGTGTTCGACCATAGACAAGGACATCTGGACCAGGGGGCTTCCATTGATAGCCCCTTATTGTAGAGGTTATAAGGGGTGTCCATCCCCCCGCGGACCGTGGGTCCTGCGTATCTCTTCGTTTTCAATCGTCCGATCTGTTCCACCTGACGGTGGTTCCTTCCGGCTGCGGGCGGAAGACACCCCCGGGGGTACGCCGACCGCCCGACGCGCGACGGCAGGCGGCGCCAACACCCGTCCGGGCAGCTTCCAAAGGCGTCGTTGAGGCGCGAGGAAACCGTGGTGTTGTGGGGATGGGGTGGTGGAGTACTGGGCAGTCTGGTGGTTTCATGGGAACACACCTTTTTATTCCTTTTTTTGCCCCCGGCCTGTAACGTCATGCCTGTTGAAAAGAACCCGGGCCCCATACGTAATAATAGGTGGTCTAATACCTGCCGGTCCGTCCAATCGAAGTGTCCATTTGAAAGAAAGAGATTCCAAGAAAGGTGGTCTAAAAAACGATAAAAAACGTAATAGGTCTTTTGAGACAACTCCTGCTTTCCTCCTCCAACCCAAGTCTTTGGTCTAGAAACCAGACCAACGTGTCTCATCACCTTTGCCGAACCCATCGATGGGCCCTCAAGACCCCTCCACAGACCGACGCCTTCTGCTCGCAAGGGTCTGAGGGCCATTGGAAGTACCACCCGGGGTCGGTTTTGGGAGCCCCAAGCGAGTGGCATCCTCGCACCCCCATCCTCCATGGAGTCCGCACCCGTCCTCCATGGAGCTGCTGGACAACAGCATTTTGGTCCACTGTTTGTCAATGTGCCTATGAGACAAGGAGCGTTTACCCCGTGGAATACTCACATCGACCCTGTAAAAACCACTGGTTGGTAGAGGAAAGCAGTCTTTCCGGGTCTCATTCCCAGGGTCCATGTGAGTTTGAGCAAGGAGCGTTTAGTCTCAATCCACACCCGCACAGCAGGTGCCGAGATGAGGTCTTTCAAAGCGCTTCTGAGTTCAACGTCAGGTCCCAGGGGCGACGACCTCGGCCTCGTCGTCCTCACGTGTGCGGACGTCGCAGCCGGGCGACGAGAAGAGGGAAAAGGCGGAGAACCAGGCAGTGCTGGCAGGGAAGGAGCTGGAGGGAGAGCTCATGCTTTGAGACTAATCATTTTGGGATGTGAGGACTTGGCCATTTGCCTGCCGGGCATTTGTTTTCTGGGATGTGAACTGCAGGATGCTTTGGGCTGAAGCCATCCCGCAGACTTTTTGCATAATTTCCAAACAGCATATGGCATGCGGCATGAGGTTACGTTGGCGCAGCTTGTTTGGGCAGACCACGAAGCATCTCTCTTGGCAGTGGTGAGCAAGATCCCGCTTGTCCGCTTGTTCTTTTGGGTCGTATAGATAAGAGACTGCCTGTGGTCCAAGAGCTCTACTAACTTCATAGTTGATGGCCAGACCCCCAAACCTCAGGACCTGCACGACGCACGAAGAACCTTCATGGTTTGGGGGGGGTCTCTGCAGGTTTCGGCGACCTCCCTCTCGACGTCCAGGAACGCGTCAAAGTACCCAAGGTGGCAGTGACGTCGCCCGAGGCGGCGCAGCGGCGCAGCGGCGCGCACCCCCGGGGGAGTAAGCCTGGCATCCATAGCCGTGCCTCGGAAGTGGAGGGGCATGGCGCCCCCGAAAAATTCGGATGGACCATGTTTCAATCCGGTTCGACCAGTCCCAGGTGGTGAACAAAACTAGGGACCTTCTCTAGGAAGACGTTTCTCTACCAGGACCCTCCTGTCGGGGTGTCCAATGAACTACCCCACACTACCTATAGGCTTCCATTGGGCACCCCTTGGAGGGTCCTGGTATATGGGGCCCATATGATTGTTTCACTAGGGAGACGTCTCACCTTCCCACTCACATGGTTTCGTGGACGGATGGCCCACGCGGCAGCGGCGGTCCCTTGAGGCTCCACGGAACGGCGGTTGGTTGAATGAGAGGGACGGTAGGGACCCTTCCTTCCGTATTCTGCAGCTGCAAGGGTCTGCTAGGCAAGGTATTATCAACATATCTCTCCTGTTGAGATATTGGAACTATACTAGGACCCGCAAGGGGTGGTTAATGGACACCCCTTAACCTCTAAGGGGCTATCAATAGACACCCCTGGCCCGGGTGTCCTGGTATATTGAACTCATTTTACTGCGGATCGATTCCTCTGGTTCCGGAAGGCAGCAGCACGCGCTGCAGTCCAAAGACCCGTCCAGTCCGGCTGGGATCTCATGGTCGGGTTGGTCTACATTGTGGACAAGAGTCATTAGTCATAAGGCATAGTTTTGCATGCCTACCAGGGCTACCAGCACCCCCCCAAGGGATGTTCATGAATGGCCCCTTAGAGATGATTCGGGGTGTCCATTAACCACCCCTTATGGGTCTGGGTAGGGTCTTGATCGTTTCGTGTGTTCCTGGGCGGCAGCCTTTTTGCCAATCGCCTGAACGCTCCGATATTGCGGGGACAGTTGCGGGGACTTATTAAACTACTGATTCAAAAAAAACACATCAGAATCATGTGACTGAGTTTGTTTTTTAAATGTTGTTTCTTCGTGTGTTTCTTTCGGCTCTAAGGG